TCCTCCTCCTCGCCCTCCTCGTCCTCCTCGTTTTCCTCCTCCTCATCCTCCTCCTCATCCTCGTCCTCCTCCTCCTCCTCTTCGTCCTCCTCGTCCTCCTCCTCGTTCTCCTCCTCCTCCTCGTCCTCCTCCTCATCCTCGTCCTCCTCATCCTCCTCGTCCTCCTCCTCGTCGTCCTCCTCCTCGTCCTCCTCCTCGTCGTCCTCCTCCTCGACGTCCTCCTCGTCCTCCTCCTCGTCCTCCTTGTCCTCCTCCTCGTCCTCCTCGTCCTCCTTCTCGTTCTCCTCCTCCTTCTCATCCTCCTCCTCCTCCTCATCCCTCCCCCTCCCCCTCCTCTTCCATGTATTACTGAAAGCAGCTTAAGACAGTGTGAAATCGGAAAATGAGGGGCCACAGTCACTAGGTTTGAAACAGAAGACTGCAATATAGTTCTACCTGCTGTCCTGGCACTCAGTAGTATGCAAATAAGCTCAGGGCGACAATGGTCTGCATGGAGAGAAAGCTTTTTAAAAGTATTTTAATATTTTTATTTTTTATGTGTATGAGTGTGTTGCCTGCATGTGTGTGAGTGCACCTGTGCGGTGCAATGCTGTGCATGTCAGAAGAAGGTATCAGATCCCCTGGAACTGGAGTTAAGGACAGTTCATAGCTGCAGTGTGGGTGCTAGGAATCAAACCCGGGTCTTCTGCAAGGACAGTCAGTGCTCTTAACCACTAAGCCATCTCTCTAGCCTGAGAAACCTTTTATTTTATAAATACTTGGTCTAATTTGACTAAAACTTAATTTTTAGGTATAAACCATTCTTTTCAGGAGGAACCTGCAAACATCAGAGATCCCTCCCTTTCTTCCTTTCATCCTTCTTTCCTTTCTTTTTTCCTTTCTCTCTCTCCCTTCCTCCCTCCCTCCCTCTTCCCTTCCCCCCTTTCTTTCTTTTTTCTTTCTTTCTTACAATTTTGGCAGGAGGATTCATTTCCTGATCATATTCTTATAAAATATACTGTAGTCTGAAGGGCATTTAGGTCCTGCTGCAGTGTTTCATAAATATGGTATTTTGCAAGGCTGTTTTGAATTACTGACCAAGCTGTTTTAAAAAATAGAACTCTGAATAATAGATGGTAAATTCCTTTTCAGACGAAAGAATACCTTCACTCTGTTTCTTATTTAATAAAAATCACTCTTGGCTGTAAGGTGGCAACTCATTATGAAATCTGTGAAATCAAATTACTGTTATGTTATGAAGTAGGTAGTATATTTAATTAATTAGCAGTACTATAGGAACTTTTTGTTTTTATGGTCCTGGATGATTGCACAAAAAATGTCATGAAAATCTAGAATTACCGCTTCTTATTTTTCTAAGTGACATACATAAATATTTATATTTGGATGACTGATCCTAAATCATCATTATTGTAGAAATCAGGTTTGTGTGTGCATGTGCATGTGTATATGTGTATTTCTCTGTGTGTGTGTGTGTGTGTGTGTGTGTGTAATAGCATTTTTTTTTTCAACCAGATGTTTTGTTCAGACTAACTTCAAGGAAAGTCTCTTGAATTTCTGGAATTTTTTATTTATGTATGTGTGTATGTACATATGTCACATGTGCAGATGCCCAGGGAGGCCAGAGGCATCAGATTTCCTGGAGCTGGAGTTATGGGAGTTGTGGACCACCCAGTATGGATTCTGGGAATTGAACTCTGGTCCTCTTAGAGCAGTAAGTGCTCTTAACTGGGGAGCCCTCTCTGCCACCCAACTTTTTATCTAAGCATTCCTAGAACACTATTACAGGTCTTGCCATCCCTAAAAGTAATGGATATTATGGATCATCTAGCACCTGAAAACTCAAAAGATGTTTTTGATGCTTCCTGGTTTTGGTCTCTGAAGCTCTGATACCTAGCCAACTCCTTGTACTCTTCTATATGTTTAGTATAAGAAACACAGATAAGATAGTATATATCAAGCAGAAATACTGTTATGTATAACATGATTTTCTTCTCTCTCTTTCCAATAGACTTGATGTCACAACAATTTTAATATGCACTGAGAACATATTATGGTCAATTTGTACATCTGTTCAGGAACTTTTGAATCCTCATGAGTATAACAATAATAAAATTTTTAAAATCCATACTCATTGCAATAATCTGGTTACAACATTAGCTATTTTGACATCACCATTAACAGAACTGTATAAGTAAGTATCAAATATATTTTGTTTAACCAAGTCGTTGTCACACCTCTTATTGAACTTTGTTAATTAAGAAGTAGAAATACACTGAAGCACATTTTTAATATTGTGAATTAGGCTATTTTATAAAATTAGCACCAACTAACAGGGATTTCTGACCTTCAAAGTAGTTTATTCCCTTCAGGTAGGTTAACCTGTCTATTGATAAGTCCCGTTCAGTTAATAAGGTTTCAGCACATTTTAAGTTTTACTCTTTTGTCTCACTGTATGGCCTTGACTGGTCTCAAACATGCAATCCTCCTGTCTCAGCCTCCTGAGCACTGGGATTATAAGCACACATAGCCTTACCAGGCAATAAATTTTACTTTTTGAATGAGGTGTTCATATTATTTTAATAGGTTGGTTGTCTTAGTCAGTCATTATTGCTCTATATAAAACAAAATCAAACATTGAATCTTTAAAAAATATATTGTAGTTTCCCACTTTTAAAGATATTTATTTTTAATTATGTATGTATGCATGTGTCAGTATTTGTATATGTGCACATGTGAGTGCTGGTGCCCATGGAGTCCAGAAGATAGATTTGGATTCCCTGAAGCTAGAGTAACAGGTGGTTGTGAGCTACTTGATGCGGGTTTGGGGAATTGAACTTGGGTCCTCTGCAAGAGCAATAAGTGCTAGTAACCAATGAGGTATTTCTCCAGCCCCAGTAATTCTTAACTTTAAGAATAATGTAATTGGATTTGATTAAAAAAGTTAAAATTATTTCTAAAATATGTGCAAATCTGAAAGAGTTCCAATGGCTTTATACTTTCAAACATTTGCCACCAATTTGCACATTGAGTATTGGGTTTTAGTGTCTTTTAAAAACATATTTTTTATTATTTTTATTTTATTTTATGTGTATGAGTGTATTACCTGCATGGACATAAGTGCACCGGTGCTGTGCAGTGCTCACAGAGGTCAGAAGAGGTTGTTGGATCACCTTGGACCAGAGTTTCAGATGGTTGTTAGCTGCCGTGTGAGTGCTGGGACGTGAACCTGGGTCCGCTACAGGAGCACCTAGTGCTTTTAACTGCTGAGCCATCTTCCCAGCCTCCTAGGTTTTTGCATCTTAACTAGCAATAGGAAGTAGAAATTCAGACAAATAATTATACTGAAAAAATAAAATATTTTTCTTAAGTAAACAAAAATAAAATCTAAAAGTTTTCAACTACTTTTTATTTCAAGTTAATTTGACTCCTATGTTTGATACTATAAAAGTTGTAATATATCTTATAAACAGAACATTAAATAACATTTTATTAATATTTCCTCCAAAATATTTGCTTTTATATTCAAAGATTAAATATGTACATACTTTATTGGATAGTAAAAAGTTTACATCATATTTCTATTTCTTAGGCTAAATTGAGTTTAATATTCTTTTCTTTAACATTATTTTAAGAGTGATATACAAATTTTGACTTTCAATACATTTTAAGATGTTTCTGTTCGATAGTCTAAGAGTAATTAACACTGTTTTCACTTTCCCTGTTGACTTGCAGCACACCCGTTGTTAATAAGTTGTTTTCTTCTAGCAAAACGAGTTGAGAATTAATTTTAGAAATAGAGTTCTTTCAGAGAGGTGAAGGAACAGTGAGAAAAACCACCATAAAGTTGAGATTATATACAAATGCCTTATAATCATAAAAAGCTTAAATTTGAAGCCCTGATAAATCCTAGTAAACTTAACTGATTTACCATAGATGAAAAAATTGCTATGCTTTCAGTTCAATGGGTCATTTCATGTAAGAGAAAGGCCTTGTGAAAAGCAGGAACAAAGTTGACAAATTTCATGGATTGGTCATGGTGAGCAATATTGAATTTCATGGTTTGTCACAGATCAATTGAAAAATTTTAACCCCCCCAATGCATTTGTAAAACAAATAAATTATTATCACAGATTGCATATTTTACTAATAATAATGAAAAACACATTCATTATTGTTAACCTATAGCCTTTTGATACATTTTTAACAACTATGCAAGCACTCAACTCTCTGATTTGTGCATTAGATATTGCACTGTAACCTCACTTGGCAAATTTAAATTGCTAATTTCAACCAGGATTACAGAACATTTTGTACCAAGCACTGCCTCTAGTCATTCTTAATATAAAACATAGATGGCTATGTCTCATTCATGCATGAGCAAAAATCTAAATAGATTTTCATTCTATCAATAGTTCTTACTGCAAAATAAAAATCACAATTTTTAGCCATTCATGTTGATTTAAATTTTGTTGCTTTACTGAAATATAAATGTATTCTATTTTTGTGAAAAAGGAAATCTACAAAGCAGCACGTTCTTTACCAACTAGGGAGAAATATATGTGTTTTGCAAAAACCCTATTGACTTATTGAGCTTTTCACAGCTGGGATATGAAGTTGTCATATTATTAACATTTAGAGAAAAGATGTTGTCTCTTGCTCATGATAAAAAAATTAAGCCATATGCTTTGAGGACTTGGGAAAAAGAAACAATAAGATGTTGATAGTATCGATTTTTATGGCGTGTACCTGCCATTTGTCACTTGATGTGGCATGCCTTTTAAGAAGGTGACTGCCTTTGTTTCACATAGTTCTGACAGATAAGCTGAATCTGTTTTCCATTCTGAGCTCAGTGTAGGTCCACCAACTCGCAGGGCAGAAATACATGATTTTAAAATCTTTTCAGGAAGAATGAAACCTGTTTGCAAAAATGTGTATTCTTTTTTTTAACATGTCTTTGTAGATTTCTGTTAGAATGTTGTAAAAGGAGAACTTTAGATTTGGTCTGCAGGGAGAAAGACCTGCTGAAACATAAAATATTGGCCTTGTATTTTCCAAAATGCTCATCATTGGTTGTTCTTTTGTGGAGGCGGTTACTCAGAAGCACATTTGTATGCACACACGTAGCCATCCGATGGCTTTCTACGCTGCATGTTGCTTGTAGACTATTTTAGTTTGTATAACAAGTTAAAAAATCAGTCCTTAAAAGGGCTCTGGTTCATTGCTATGTGTGAGGCTCTGGGTTCAACTAGTAGACCCCTATTCTCACACACACGCAAATAAGAATTCTAACCACTTAGACAAATGCAACTAGATTTCTATTAACAAACATTGTTGGTTCCCTATCCCCCGTGTTTACGGGCAAGGGTCACAACAGTAAGATACTAAGTTACCCTCAAGTAATTTAGGAAAGTCTGATCAATTTTGAATGTTATAATTAAATAAATAATTCTATAGATCATGCCCAAACTCCATCTGTAGAATCCTGATGAAAGTTGGCAGTCCCAATGTTTAGTGACACTGAAGAGTGGGATTTCAATACAAGTTTTGACATGCCAGGGAAAGGCTAGGGTCATAAGAAACAGGAAAGGATATCAATCACTTTCCAGACAATGCCAGTTTTGTGTGAGGATTGGCTTGAGGAAACTCATAAGGCCTTTGAGTTCCTAAATTCCAGAGTGTTTCCAATGCTACACCCATAGCTCTACTATATTAGGCCCTTTGAGATTATGGCCTTAGCCTACATGCTTCTTCTTTTTTTTTTTAAGTATCTCACAGTCCCTCAGAGAACAAAATATTTTCAACTAAATCTTTTTTTTCATATCCCAAGAATGACTGGCACCATTTGAGAACTAGGCATTTCTTCAAAATGTTAAGTATAAAATATGCTGTGTCAAATGCTAAGCATATGTTCTTAAGACCCATCAATGGAAACACATGTCCATACAAAACTTTGTACAGGAATGTGTATAATAGCATCTTCCTTACTAACACAAGCAACCACATGTCCATGAATGGATTAGCAAGATGTAGCATAAGCATACAGAGGAATATTATTCTGTAGTATAAATGAATGGACTGAAACATACTACAGCAAGAATGAGCTTCAAAAACATTATACTGAATGAAAACAGAGAAGCATTCCATTCATTAGAAATGACCAGAGTAGACAACATTGTAAAGACAAAGTTTATCAGTGCTTGCTAGAGGTTAAGAAGAGGGGGGAATGGGAAGTAATTGCTAATGGGTACAGGATTCTTTTAGTGATAATCAATGTTCCAAAATAAGATAGAAATGAAAGCTATGCCACTCAGTGAATGTAGTAAAGCCATTTAATTGCATACTTTAAATGTGTAAATTTTATGGTAGGTAAATTTAAAATCTTAAAACTTTAAAAAATGAATATATGTTGGCCTGGCATGGTGGCACATGCCTTAGGCTGAGGCTGAATTGCAAATTTTCTGTCAGCCTGGGCTACATAGAAAGATCCTATCTTCAGGGGAAAAAGTATTGACCGAAAATAAAAGTACTTAAAATTTGAGAAATAAAATGTGCTTGGAAGAATGTAGAATGGTCTTGATCATTTGATTACCTAAGATTTTAGGGCCATCAAAAGGCTCATATGTCCAATGGTCCATATATGCTGGTGTTACCTTTAAGCTTTAACATAATTCTTTTTCTAAGATTGTTGCTTTTCTCTTCGCATTTCATTTATTGAATATAAACAGTGGCCCAGGCACTGTGCTGTGTGCAAAAGATGGGAGAAGTTTGACCTGACTCCTTCTCCCTCTTAGAGCATATATTGTTAAACACCATAATTACATCATGGAGGTACACTCTTTTTAGCATCATATATGAAAACCACTCTGCTGGGCAAGCATCCAAAATCAGAATGGTACAAAAAAAGCAGAAACCCAGCTAAGTCTTTTTAGCTTTCAGTTGCTCTCAATTTTGAGGTGCCTTGGATTGATTTTATCCTAGCAGCTGGTTTCATAAGCCCAAGAACCAGTCTGTTAAGGAGAGGGAGGGAAGGAGGGAAAGGGAGAGGGAGGAGTAAGAGGGAGGGAGGGGGAAAGAGGAGGGTAAAGGGGAGAGGGGAGGGGAGGGGAGGAAAGAGGAGGGAAGAGTTGAAGAGGGAAAGGAGAGGAGGGGAGAAGAAAGCATGCATGAGGATTAGAGGATCAAAAGAAAAGG